AAATCCTACATGATTACTTGTTTCCAGCTTCTTGTCTACTCACTCTAACATAAAATCATGTACTGTATAAACACACACAGTCTATATTTGCTCTTTAACCCTAAAGATTAAATATATGTAATGTATGCATGCAAGCATGCATGCATCTCTCTCTCTCCCCATCTCTCCCTCCCTCCATCTCTCTTTCCCTCTCTCTCCTCCCCTCTCTCTTCCCCATATTCTTATCTTGCACTGGTCAATTACTACAAGAATAGGAATGTCAACGATAAGCAATCATTTACAATTTATTAGGTTCAGCTTTCTAAAGTCCTTAGGGGAAAAACATTTAGGATTAGGTAACAAGTTAAAGGAGTTTCTCAATTTAAGTATGTATAGTATACATACTCAATTCAGTATAAACTTTGTTGTGTCAGTCCTGGATTTAGTGTATTTCAGTGTTTACACATATTCCAATATATGTATACTTAATATTTTATAATCCTATACACATATCTACCATTCTTGTGGCTGTAAAGGCCTAGAGAAGCAATTTGTTTTGTGCCTTCAGCTAGCTTTAAAAAACCACAATTTTTTATAAAACACAGATATTTTCCATAATTTATGCCAGTAATTCAGATCACTATTAGTCATGCCATAGTTGTTCTGCAGGGAGTGATTTGGGAATATAAGAACTCTCTGGTCCAGATCAAGCTTCATCTAGTCTAACATCTGGTAAAACTTTGAAGCAGGATATTTATGCAATAAGAGTTCCTTCCTCCCCCTGTTCCACAACTTGCATACAGAAACACTAATTTTCTTTAATATTATAATTCTTTAGTATCAGAGAAATAGATTATAGCACCACTATAATTTTTTTTACAAGTTAATTGTTTTAATGCGTTGTGAAATACTAATATAATTTGGATACATTAAACTGAAATACTAAAATACATTATAGAAAATAACTGAGTTCTGTGATATTTATACAGTAGAAACTGAAAAATGATCAAGGTAAACGGAAACTTTAAAGATGAGAAAACAAGTTTACATCAAGATTAAACATTATTTGTAGGATGTCAATGAACAAAATTTTTACATTAACAAAAAAGTTGCAAAATGCATTGAAAAAGATTTTGATTTTTTTAGTTTAATACATAGCACAACTATTATATATTATAATATAGCATAATAATGCTATATTCTATTAGTATTGTAACTTTCTCTGATGTTATAGATAGTAAGGCTATAAATGGTTATAGTGGTGATAGTAATATATAGCCAATTAGCCATTATCTCTGGTAACCATTTACAGCCTTGTTTTATATAAGCCTATAACCCCCCTTTTAAAACCACCCAGATTTGTTATTATCACTATATCATTGCATACTTTCCACAATTTGCTTGTATGCATTATGAGCATTAGTCTGCAGAGAAAAGAAATATAAATGTGGATATATTTTATGTTTTCATGATTTTAGAGGCATCAGAAATGGTGTAATGAGAATTAGTAATGTAAATATATAGCAATACCACTTTACAGTGCTTCACAGCCCTCTCTAAGCTGTTAACAGAGTCAGCATATTGTCCCCAACAATTTGGGTCCTCATTTTACCCACCTAGGAACGATGGAAGGCTGAGTAAGCCTTGAGCCTAATGAGAATCGAACTGCTAAATTGCAGGCAGCAGAAGTAGCCTGCAGTATTGCACTCTAACCACTGTGCCACTGTGGCATATAGTACAATTATGCAATGAATAACCATATATATTGTTTTCATTCTGATTTGTTTTGTTTTTTTAGTGCCCCTTTGATTAAACTGTTGAAATTTATATTCAACTGCAGTTTTTGTATTTAAATACAGGTAGTCCTTGACTTACAAACATTTGTTTAATGACTGTTCAAAGTTACAATAGCACTGGAAAAAGTGTCGTGGGATACACTTACGGCGGTTGCATCATCCCTGTGATCATATGATCAAAATCTGAATGCTTAGTAACTGGCATGTATTTAGTTCATGTGATCATCTTTTGCAACCTGATAGGCAAAATCAAGGCAGACTCATTTAACAACTGCAGTAATTCACTTAACAAAAGTGGCAAGAAAAGTAATAAAATTGGGTAAAATTCACTTAACAACTGTCTTGCATAGCACAGAAATTTTGGGCTCAGTTGTGAACTATCTATATAGATACATATGATATATATGTCTTATGGCTATATTCTCTAATCCAGCATCCAAACTGTGATGGATTTCTGAGTTTAGTATAAATAAATAAGTAAAATACAGTAGATTACATATGTTCCAAACCTGCCCAAATCGAGTGGCATATAAATTTAATAAATAGGTAAATAATATCTGGCCTGTAAACATTCAGTAAAGCTAATTTGATCTTTGTTGCTTATGATGGTATAGATAGTTCAAGCAAATTAACAACTGTTCAAAGTTACGATGCTGAATAGTGGGATTTATGACAGGTTCATATAATTGTGACTATCACAGCATCCAACAGTTATGTGATTACAATTTGGGCCCTTGGTAATAGCTTGCAAGTATGATGTAGCATTCCATACTCATGTATCATCATTGGTGACCTTCACTGTAGGCTTCCAATAAATAAAGTCAGTTCAGAAGCTGGCAATTGTATGCTATCACACTTAATGACTACACAGGATTTGCTTAATGATGGCAACCGGAAGTGCCGGAATTCCCACTATAAACTGACAAAAATCACATGATGTCACCCTTTACAACTATGTTACTTGCTGATTGGTCCCAGTTACCATTACTAATCTATGACTACCTGTATTGATTAACCCTGTGTTTCTACTTTTTTTGTAACTGAATCCATATATTTATATATCTCTTCTTGTTTAGTGATTGAAATCTGTTGCAGTGATTTGATCATTAAGGAAAATGAAATTGGTTGCTGCAGTCTCATTTCTATCCGATAGTGCTCTGTGACCCAATGCTTCCCCTTTTTTTTGCCCCCTCACAGGAATGAGATATTGCTTAAACAAGCTATCTCTTCCTGAGCCATTTTTCTCCACAGAGCAGCATGAATCTAAAAAGTGTAACAACTGCAAGTTGAACAAGCTCAGCTGTGTGACCTTAAATTAGTTGATTAAATTCCAGGCAGCTGCCTGAAACTGACCAGAACTTCATCAGTCTCACATTGAAGTCTTTTGTTGTCAAGTATCCAAAATTTAGTCCTAAATGCATACATTGGCTGAAAAATGAATTATTAATTATCATTTATTACAGTCTTATTTGCAAATGGGCACTAACCAACCAGTCAGTAGTTGCTGACTGAGGATTAGCTGTATTGATTTTGATAAACCCTATATGAGAAGATTTCTTTGTGCCTGAAATATCTCTACAAGTAACAGCTCAAGACTCAGGGCTCTTCCACACGGCCACATTAAAATTCTGTTTGCTATAGTAGTCCTTGAACCAAGAGCAAAGTGTGTTGACATTAATTGTGCTCCTATTGCCGATTTCTATTCTACCAACAGAGACTGGCCAATTGTACTGTTTTTACTTACATCATGTAAGCCAATTCCAGGAAAGTAATTAAGGTACTCCTTGGGCATCATTTCTCTTTCTACCAAACTCGTTCATTGCAGGGGCAACCACTACCAAATGCTTTCTTTTTTGTCCAGAGTGGAGTGGTGCTGGATGACTTTAGGTGAGGCTAGCCTCACTGAAGGGGGGTATATTATAGTCATTTGAAGTTGCTTAAGCAAGAGATGCTTAGTGCACTTCCTTCTCTATGTCTGTATCATGTCAATAGATTTAGTTTTCTGAAACAGCACTAAAAGTATATTCAAAAATAGCCTGGCTGAAGTTGATAAGTGAAGCACAAAAGAAGCAACGAAAAATTATGAAGATTTTCTCTTGCTTTACTGAATTGTAAATGTGAGGATTAGTCATAACTGCAAATAGTTATTATATGAAGCAGTTGCTAAATGAGAACTATTTGTATTTCAAGGAATGGAAGGACATGTTACCAGCAATTGAAAAAACAATTCAATTCTGACAGTATTCAAATATAGTTAATGGCCATACAGAACACACTACTGTGATATGGCCATATATAACAGCATTTGTCCCCACAGTGCATAATGCCATCAAAGTTAGACTACAGTAAATAAATGGCATCACTCCCGCATCAAGACAGTGTAAATAACTATGGTATATCACATAAGTGGCCATAGGAACTCCAACTCCATGAAACAGAATGAGTATTAGGAGTGGTAAGTTCTATGGCTTATGTCTATGGAAATTCAGTCATCCAGATCATGGTTGTCCCAAAGGTCAAACATCAGAGCTGAAGAAGCATTTTGGATGAGAAGCTAAACATCTTCCAAAGAAAAACTAGAAAGTCCAGGTGCCTCTTGAAAAAGCACCTTTGGGATTCTAAGACTTATGTTCAAGTTTCCTAAAATAATAAAAATGTACTGAAACACTAAGCACTAAACAAAATGGCCACATAAAACCCTATTGTCAAAAAACATACCTAATGCATCCATATGATGACATGCAGCTTTCAAAAGAGCACTAAATCTATGTTGATAAGGAGCCCACAACAGATCTGGCAAGTGATATGGAAAGATTTAGATGACCTTTATGTGGGCTGATGCCTCTATGGAATTCAGATGTCCCCTCATTATGCATCCCAAGCCAAAACTGGAAAGCATCCAGCAACTGAGGAAAGGAGCCATGTCTGCAGCAGCCTAAAGTACTGTGGTGAATAGAAACTGGACATATCACAACTCCTGAGCACATCACTTCCTAAATTGTCAATGAAGTTTACTAGATTATATCCATAGAGGAAAATGTGTTAGGATAAGGAAGAAACCCATCTCAGCTATGGGCTGGAGATGGGCTGAAGGAAACATCATGGGAACAAGGCAAAAATAATTGGTTATTGAAGCATGATTGTATTGTGATTTGAGAAAATGAGAAAAATCCCCCATTTCTGTCTCTTGTTTTCATTCCCTTTCCCTTTTCTTTCTACCAATAGGTACAAAAAATTCCTTGGTTACTAATGATATGACTTTTGAGACAGTGAACACTCCCTGGAATCCAGACCATAAGATTCGGAGAATGAAACTGGTGAAAAAGGTCTTGGATACCGAAGATAAGGCTGCCTTCGGCCATAATGATAAAATGCCAAGATACATATATTTTGCAGCAAACAGCACAAATAAGTGGGGCCATAAGCGTGGCTACCTAATCCAGACAATCAGCTATGCTGGAGATCATCTCCCAGAATCAGATCCAATGGAGAGAGCTATCAGTTGGGGCAGGTAAGCAGTCCTTTTCTAAGCACCAACTTCCAATACTTTCATTTATTTATTAATTTGCTTGCGTGATTTGAAATGGGGCTTTTCTGTTCAAAATTAGCACTCTGGATAACTTACAGTTTAAAGTGATACACACATATGCAGAGAAAAAATATTGAAACATAACTAAAACACAAATTATGAAAGCATTAATTGCTAACTCTTTTTACTACTTCTCTCAAGGCAGAGAGACCCGGATCCAGCCAGCGGGGGTGCTTAAATCTGGCCCACACAGCCAGCCTGGAAATAGCAATAGCACTAGCATTTAGATTTATATACTGCTTCATAGTGCTTTACAGCCCTCTCTAAGCGGTTTACAGAGTTAGCATATGGCCCCCAACAATCTGGGTCCTCATTTTTACCCACCTCGGAAGGATGGAAGGCTGAATCAACCCTGAGCCGGTGACATTCGAATTGCTGAACTGCAGCTAGCAGTCATCTGAAGTACCAGCCAAAACGGGATGCAGGAGGTCTGCACGGCTTCCTGCAGTACTATGCCGGCCAAAAACGGGCCATGTGGAGGCCCTGTGCAGCCTGTTTTCGGCCAGCAGAGTGCTGCAGGAAGACTGGATTGGACTGGATTACAATTATGTGGCCTCAAATAAGTGCCTGATCTGGATAGAAAACAAGCAACATCCTATGTTAATACTACAGTTCAATGCCAGATTTTACATGCTGTAGGTCCATTTAATCTACAATCAACAATCTATAATTGACAGCCATTTCTATTTATTATCCAGGAAATTTATCCCTGTTGTTAGATCTTGTATTATCATGTTATTTATGCTATTGTATTTTTATTATTAGTTGAATAATAAAAATACAATAATATAAATAGATTTTTTGCCTGGAAAAGCAATTTACTATTAAACAATGGGGTATAAATTTAGAAATACAAAGTTTAGTGGAGTATGAAGAATAAGTAATAAATGTTTGCCAGTAATATCTGGTAGAAGAGATAGGAAAATGGTTATACTAAAGAACTGTAGAAAGGAAGAAGGGGAAAAAATGCACCTTGTGCATGTGTCAAACACCCACCATGGCCATGCCTACCTGGCCACACCCATCATGGCCATGCCCATCCCTGCCCACACACCCCCGGCCCTCTGAGGTTAAACACAACCCTGATGCAGCCCTCAATGAAATCAAGTTTGACATCCCTATTCTAGTATCTAAGAAAAAAGAAAAGGTCCTCTCCATCTGCCTGGTAGATAAGCCTTTGAGAGTAGGGGCATCTTCAAATGGGCCTCTCCTACAGATCTTAAGCTCTGAGGAGGTGTCTAACAGGAGGAGCAGTTCCTCAGGCAAGCACTAAATGTCAAAGGATAAAGCTATAACCACTTGGGCCCAATAAACAAGCTTGTCCAGGGAAAAGATACTATTTTTAAATTTTATTTACTTGTATCCTGTCTTCATTACTTTAATAAATAAAGGTAGTGAACATTCCTAATACTCCTTTCTCCTCCTATTTTGTCCACAACAGCTACTCTGTGAAGTGACTTGGGCTGGGAGAGTGTGGCTGACTCATAGTTACTCAGCCAGCTGTCATGGCTAAGGGGGTGGGGGAGGGGAGACTAGAATTCATGGCCTCTTGCTTTCTAGTCTGATGCCTTACTCGGTCTAGCTATGCTTTCAACAAGGCTGATGCAGTCAAAAGAGGCTTTCTTTAAATTTGGTTACATTAAACAATAGTCACAACATTGCCAATGTTCCCTTTTTAGGGAAGGTTATTGAGAAGATGTGCTATAGAGCAGCAACAGTGTGTTTTAAAGGATGATTATTTAATCCTTTTCTATGCACAGTTCATTGGCATCCTGTAAGTTGCTCTAGGGCAGTGTTTATCCAATTTGGCAACTGTAAGATGTGTGGAATTCCAGAATTCCCCAGCATCCTTTTATAAAATTGCCAAGACAGAGCAGTTCCATAGGTTCCTTGGGAGTTAATGTCACTGGATTGCTGGGTTAGTGCCAATAGTTTCTTATTTTTATTGTTTTATTACTATGGAGTTATAATTGTTCAAATATAATCTATATCTATATTTATCGCTTTAATGGCTATATTATAAACTATCAGAATTGAGAGAATTGACAGTTTACAAGCATAATTAATATATGTTATGAATTGAGGGTTCTTGCAAAATCTTAATGGAAAAAGAATTGTTGGGTATATAAATTAATTAAATAATAGTATCTAGAGTTTTTTAACTTGGCAACTTGATGAATGGATTTCAATTGTGGGAACTGAAGCCCACCCATCAAGCTTGAAATACGCTGTCCTGTACTCCTTTGTAAAATGGAAAACCATTTGCCAGTGTGTGACGTGTTTTTTCTTTCATATCTTTGTTGTGCTTCTATCTTCAACTTAATTTTAAATTGTGGGATTGAATCCATTTATTTGTATATTTTTATTCAGTGTTTTATGTCCTGACACATTTCTTTTATGTTGGCATGAGGATAATTTTGTTACAGTTTTACAGTCCTCGACTTACAACCACAAATGGAACCAGAATTTCAGTTGCTAAATCATGTGGTCAGTAAGTGAATCACATGTGAGCAGACCAGTAGTGGGTTTCAATTTCGGTCACTACTGGTTTGCTCGTAGGTGCGTGCACGCGCTCACACATGCACACGCATGCACACACACATGCGCAAGCACGCTCACACATGGGCACGATGCTTCTGCACATGCACAGAGATGTCCGGGTGGGTGGGCGGAGCCTCCTGCTGCCGCCACCACCGGTTTGCCCGAAGAGGGGCGAACCGATAGAAACCCACCACTGGAGCAGACTCAATTTTACCATCAGTTTTATCACAATTATTAAGTGAATCATTCAATTGTTAAGTGAATCACACAATTCATTTATCATTAAGGGTGTTTAAACAAACCTGGTTTCCCTCATTGACTTTGATTGCTGGAAACCGGCTAGGAAGGTTGCATATTGCAATCATGTGACTGAAGAAGTAGTGCAACCGTTATAACTTTGAGGACGGGTGGTACATCATCGTAACTTTGAACTGTCATTAAACAAAAGGTTGTAAGTCAAGTACTACCTGTACAGTAGTTTTAGTAATACATTTATTGCTATACAGGCACCTTGACTTTTGACCACAATTAGGACTAGATTATTTTGTCACTAAGTGATGCAGTCATTAAGCGAATCATATCCCATTTTACAATCTTTTTGTCACACATTAAGAAGTGAATCCTACAGTCATTAAGCAAGCCGAGCTTCTCAGAAGAGTCCTGGGAAGATTGTAAATGGTAATCAAGTGACCCTGAGGCAACTGTTAAAATGCATGCCACTGCTGAGCGCCTGAATTTTGATCATCTGACTGTTGGCGGGGTGGGGGGTATTGCAACAGTTGTAAATGCAAAGACTGGCTATAAATCATATTTTTCAGCGCCCATATAATTTTGAATGGTCATTAAATGAATGGTCACAAATCAAGGACTATCTGTACATGTGTTACATTGTGAGCAACTGTGGAAAGGCACATATTCAGATAAGCTTTGCCAATTTTTGTAGAGTATCCATAGTCTTTGGAGCTACTATTGCGCATAAGCATTAGGGAAACTTATTCCATACCTATGAAAGTGATGAAATCATCCAGCTCAACAATACTTTGTTTCTGTTATTGTAATTCTGCTTCTTAGGTACAAGCTGGCTGTCACCAAGCGAAAGGAGAAAGAACCTTGCAGTACCAGCATCTATAATCAGAATGACCCATGGACACCTACTGTTGCCTTTGCAGACTTTATAGATAATGAGACCATTGTTGATGAGGTGAGTTGTTAGATCCTAAGGGAGACAAGAGAGGATATTTCCTTTTTTTCCAAGCAAACCCTCACAGAGATTGGACAGGTGTGGCTCCTAACTTTTGATTGGATACTAGACAAATCTATTGTCCCCTCTCTTTTCTATGGCTGTTTATTAGCAGTACAATTCCAAGAAATCTTGTTTGTTTTGCTGTCTGCTGTAGCATATTTTGAAATTTTAGAATGAATTTGACAACCACATTTGTACAGAATTTGATAACCACATTTAACTTGATTTGATATATACAGCGAAGCATTTGTACTTGGTGATTTAAAATTTGCTTGTGGTTTTCCTTCATATTCCACTTTTAGAATGTCTGCTGAAAAAGATGTATTCTTAATTTTTACTTTTCTAGTCTCTATAGTATTTTTCTCTTCTGCTATGCTACCTGCATTGAAAGAATACAAAGCTAGAGAACTTCTAATAGTTAAAAATATTTTGTTAGCAAATCAGATTTTTTACATTTTAAAAATGCTTATACAGCAAGAAATCCTCTAGTTGTTAAATACATTAAATGAAAATAAGTAGACTCCACAGAATCCCTCTGTGGGTTGTGGGTACGTATTTTAAATGATAGTGGGTGGGAATGAAGAACAGTCAATTTTTCATGTAGCTAATGTTTGTTCTGGCCAGATTTCCTTTCTGACAAAAATCCTACATCTGATCACACGGGAAATCTTTCACATTCTACATAGCACACACACAAAAAAGATAACTTCCATACCTTTTCAGTGAAAAAAATTCACATTATGAAGCAAAGCTGGATGTTTTCTGACAATGCACAATGACAAGAGATGTATTTTCATGTATTATGAACACCATTCTTTTCCCCAATTTTTTTATCCTAGATCTTAATTTGTTATATTTTATATCTATTTTTCCCTGCAATGAGATTCCAGGACTGGAAATTTGTAATTTCAGAGAAGAATCTACATTTATGAAAGGATTAAAGAAACAATTCTGTTCTGTCTGCATATTCTCCTACATAAATACTTCATTCCTCTCATATAACAGCCTTCTTTGGGCTTTATGAATCCAACACACTTATATGAACACACTGGATAGCCTCCCCTACTGTACCAAGATCATTAGAGAAATCTTGCGGGCTTCCCTAAAGGCAATTGAGCTTTCAGTATTAATGTCAGTGAAAATTCTGGTTCACGTGGAAACTAATATAAGCTTCTTTTTTTACAGAGAAGCTTGTATTAGTTTCTACCAGTATGTAAATTACAGTTATCCTTCATATGTCACTTGAATATAATACTCCTGAAATTCAGCCACTAGAAAGTACCTTGCAAATTTTAAGCGGGCTATGTTCCAAAATAAGAACATAAAACAAAGCTCATATCTTTTATCTTTTATGAAAATAAGTGGGGTAGTAGTTCACAATTAAATGCTACATGCCATCTGACTTACAAAAATAATGAAAAAGTTTGCTTTAAAAGAAAATTAAATTCCAATAGTGAACAATAGAACCAACAGATAAGCATGCTTTTTGCAGCCCAGAATTGCCACAGAACTGAGCCCAACAAAAAAGCAAGTAGCAGCCACAAATTCATTTCAGTACACCCCACAAACAATGCAACAGCAAAAAAATACAATGCATGTTTTTCTGATTAGGCAACCTACCTGCAAAAAACACTCCACAAAAACGTGACCAAAAGTTTAAGCACACAAATAAAGCTCAGAAAGCTTCTTTTCTGTACTATTTAACATTCTTTGCAGATAGCAACAGGCCTACAAAACACAGCACAGCTACAGGAACTATCTGTTTATGCACATGAACAGTATGTACTTTTGAATTGGCAAGCATCCTGAAAAAGAAAGTACTATACACATACACTGCTCAAGAACAGATATGTCACATTTCAACTCATAAAGTACTGTCTGCACTGCTTAACTAATCAGGATTATAACACTACTGAATTAGATACAGGAAATGGAATAGGAGGAGAAGTGGCCAAATTAATTTGGCAGCTGAACTTCATTAATGTAATAAATTAATGAAATTAGTGTAAACTGTTTGATTATACTAATGAAGTTCAGCTTCCAAACTAATCTGTTATTTCTCATATATCTCCATGAAGCAGCAATCCAAAGTATTTCCCATCTCAGTATGGTTGAACAGATTGTCCTTTACCCAGGTGTCTTCTTTTCCTCTAAATTCTTGCCATAACAAATCTTCAAATCTCCATAGCTTGGAAAAAGGGTGTTGTTGTTTTTTAAAAAAAAGGAGAGTGGAATTTTGAAAATACTAGGGAAAAAAGGAAAGAAAAAGTTTTATTCCAAATTAGGACAAATTTTAAGGGGGAGGGGGTTGGTGTTCATAACTGGAATGCTTAAAATAGCCATTCCAAACTTGGAACATTTTGCACCCAGAATGATTTGTAGCCAAAATTCAGTGTTTTCCTAGAAAATTCTATTTCATTGTGTTAAAATAATTTGACCAGCCTATAGCTTCCCAAGTGTGTTATATTATTAGGGAGCTGGGAAGATTTCTATTTTAAATCAGGCAATCTATCTTGTGCTGGCTGCCCTATTTCAAATGGAGCAAAGATATATCAGCTTGATGTATAAGCAGCTCACTAAGAGGAACAAGAAGTCCAACGCAAAGGCAGACACAGAGTTGATTGCACAATTGCACCCATGGCTGAAAAAGGTTCAAAAGAGTGAGATCTTGCTGAGAGTTCACTTGAGAGTCTGAATTTGGGTTCAAAGAAACAAATCTACTTCCTTGACACAAAAAAATTGCCCTTTTCTTTAACAGGGAACAGCAGGCATGCAAAAAGTGAGGCTAGATAGATAGTTTGTTTCTGAGTATCAAGCTTATAGAGTAGGTGGGTGCCCAAAAATGGTGTTTCTTTTGTTTTTATGAATAGTTCACAGATCTTTGTCTTTCAGAAAAGTCTATCTTTCTCACTCCCACCCCTTATTTTATTCTCATAAGAGTACACACACTTGATTGGGTTGCCTCACAGGAAGTTTCCTCCTTTCTGGTCATGTGACCCAGGGTGAAGCATATGCGGCTAACTCTATCTTCCCAGCATATGCATTCATGCAAAACACACACACACACATACATAAAATGTGTTATTTCAGTAACAGAAGAAAATAAAGTGTCCTGTGTCCACAGTTGTTAAGGAGTTAGAAACAATTCCAGAAGCCATGCTTGGCGTACTTTTCCTACCGAAACATCTGTGCAGTCAGGCATGGGGCAAATGAAAAAAAAAGTGCTTTGGAGCACAAACAGAAAAGGGTTGGGTTTCTCAACATGATGCCTCAATAGTTGCTTTATTCATTTTATGCATTTAGTTGCAGAAATGAATACTTAGTGGGATGTTAAAAAGAAATTGTGGCTGAAAATTTTGTCAGCACAGCCACTCTCCAAAAGTGAAGTCAAACAACAAAGTGAAAAGAGGAACTAAATTTGATACAATGGTGCGGGGGGGGAGGGGAGTGGACTTCCAAAATGGGCCAGATCAATCTGGGACCTCTGCAGGAAAGAAACAAACAAAAAGGAATAATTTCCCCAAAGCTTCCCTTTGTAAAAGGCAGTTGGCAGAGTATTGCTGAGTGCTCCATTCTTAAGCTCCTTCCCTTCTAATCGCATGACTGGAGCGACTGTTCCAAAATTTCCCTTCCATGTTTTTAATCAGATTACCCTGTTTTATGGTCTTTCACTAGGATCTGGTTGCTTGGATCACCACTGGATTTCTACATATTCCCCATGCCGAAGATATTCCTAACACTGTGACACTTGCAAATGCAGTTGGTTTCATTTTAAGACCTTATAATTATTTTGACAATGATCCCTCCATTGACTCGCCTGATAGTGTGTTCTTCACTGACAAGGATGACTTCAACTCCTGTGAAATCAACCATATTGCTTGCCTCCCTAAAACAGCTGCTTGCGTACCCAATCTTCCACCTTTCACTTATGAAGGTTTTGAAAATCTGACAATGCTCTGATACTCTCTAGGCTTTGAGTCAATGCTGCTGTTTATATTTGAGAGAATACAGTAGTGGAAATAGTCAAGCAAAAAATCTGTGTCTAAGATAGCAGTCTTGAGACCTTTATTGTTGACTGTGTTTCATCTAAATCTTAGTTCTGTTGACATTGTACTCACTTGTGTTTGCAACTTATCTGTATCAGCCAAATACTTCTATCTTTTTTACCCAACTGCTTCTCCTGTTAATTTTATATTTGAAGATTATATTAGATATATCTGTAAAATACATTTAATCCCCACTCTGAAAGTAATTGTCTGGTCTGTATTTTTATAACTTGTTCTATTATCTAACTATCTATCTATCTATCTATCTATCTATCTATCTATCTATCTATCTATCTGTGTTTTTGTAATTTGCTCTATTATCTACCTACTTACCTGCCTGCCTACCGTGGATATAAAAGGTCGAGATCCTTTTGTTAAAACGACAAATTTTTGAGATGTAAAAAAATCAGACCAAGATAAATCACTTCAGAATGTTTTCCACCTCTAATAAGCTGTGCAATTCTATTGAAAAACAAACTGATTTTTTTTTGGGTGGGTGGGTGGGGGAAATAAAATGTTTACAATAATATGGTTTCATAAGTGTACATATCCTCTTATAAGTAAGAATGTGACTGTGTTCAGAATTAACCAATTACATTCAAACTGATGTTAAATAGTAATCAGTAAAACAACTGCCATCTATTAAAATAACTCTGATCAAGCCCATATAAAGTTCAGGTGTTCTAGTAGGATTTTTCTGACATTTACTAAGTCACCTCTTACAGCAAAAGCCATGTCTTCAAAGAATTTCTAAAGTATCAAAGAGATCTCATTGTTGGAAAGAGAATGGTACCAAAAAAATTTCTAAAACATTGATTATACCACGGAACACAGTGAAGACAATCATCAACAAGTGGAAAAAATATGGTACACCAAAAACTGGATGTCCTCCAAAATTGATAACAAAATAAGAAAATTGGTCCAAGAATTTGCCAAGAGGCCTATAGCAACATTAAATGAACTCCAGAAATTTCTGGCAAGTACTGGCTATTTACCACATGTGACAACAGTGTCCATATGCTTCATATGTCTGGGCTGTGAGGTAGGGTGGCAAGACAGAAGCCTTTTCTTACATAGAAAACATCCAAGCCTGGTTACATTTTGCAAACAACCACATCATATCTCACAAAAGCATATGGGAAAATTTGTTATGGTCTGATGAGATTGAGGTTGAACTTTTGGTGCAAAAACAACACTGTTCATCATCAAAAGTACACCACAGTGAAGCATGATGGCAACAGCGTTATGCTTTGGATCTGCTTTTATTCAGTTGGAACTGGGGCTTAAACAGGGTTAGGGTTGAGGGAATTATAAACAGTTCCAAATATTAGTCAGTTTTGGCACAAAAGCCTCAGGCTTTTGATAAAATGCTGAAGATGAAGAGGAATGTCAACTTTCAACATCTCAATGACCCAAAGCATAACAAAAGAATGGCTTCGCCAGAAGAAGATGAAAGCTTTGGAAGGAAATGTGAATCAAATTGAAAGTCTGGGGGATGACCTGATGAGGGTTGGACCCAGGAGATGCCTTCACAATCTGACAGATTTGGAGTGCTTTTACAAGGAAGAATGGGCTAATGTTCCCAAGGCAAAGGTGGGCCATCCTATCTTCAAAAGCTGAATGCTGTCATAAAGGTGCTTCAATAAAAATGTGCATACTTATGGAACCATGTTATTGTAAGTTTTTATTTTTCCCCTAAATAATTTTAGTTTGTTTTTCAATTGAATTGTACAGCTTATATTAAAGGGAGAAAAAATCTGAAGTGATTTATCTTGATATGATTTTTTTTACATCTCAGAAACCTGGCATTTTAAAAGGAGTGTAGACTTTTTATGTCCACTGTGTGTGCGCGCGTATGTGTGAGTGAATGACATATATTTTAAAAGAATAAAAATACAAATTTTGAAAGAGAAAATTAAGAAAAAAAAGTAATAAGTGAAAAAAGTACCAAGAAAAGAAAAGGCTTCTAATTTTCTTAATAGTATTTACAACTACATTTATATTTTATTCTCTAAATTTGCTCTATGGATCTGATTTTGAAAAATTAAAAATGCCATGAAATTTTCCAGGATTCTTTGTCAGAACTCATAATTAAGTTCCTCTGACTGTTAACCAGAGACACAAGCATGTTCTCTGGTTACCACAGTTGACTGCATCTAGACAGATCACAGTGACACTGTGGATACATTGTGTTAAGAAATCTATAAGAAATGTTTGTTTTAATAAACACATGTTATGCTAAAATGTGGTTTGTTAAACTACAGTTAGTCTTCCAAATGCTGATGCTAGTTGTTTTGCCGATTTCTAACTTTTTTCTTGCCTGTTTAGTTGCTATTATTTTGTATCCTTGTATCCTATTTTATTCCTTATTGCTTCTATGTGGCAATAAAAATCAACGAGCCAGGTCTACAAATAAATTATGTGTGGTGTCATCTTTTGCATATACAATAAAGCTAACTCATGATCACAGTAAAGTCACAGCAAAACTATGAATTTTTGCCCTAGAACAAGCCACTGGGATATTTAAACTGCTTTTCCAAAACTGGTAACTAACTAACTTCAGATTAGGATTATGCCCCGATTGTAAACATACCTAGGACTAATCGTAGAGTTAAGTAACTCTTACTTAGTGACTGTTATCCAAACCTAGGAGAGAGACTTTGTTTTCCAGCAGGCTGTGATAAATGGAAATTTAATGACCCTTCCAGAATGGTCCTTTTTTAAACACTCCATATTTTTTACTTTGAATTAAAGAATTGGGCAACTCTAAATCTTCCCCTAACCTTTGGTGACCACTGTAAGGCCTTCATACATTTAAGCTATCATTCTTTTGCTATATTTTTGTTTTAAAAGCTGGAAGTTACCTCAATATGTAGGAAATAAATATATGACATTGCTATACATTTTCCATCAAAACAGGAAGAACTTGCAACTTTGCAACCTGAGGTAATAAAACAACCTATTGATGCTTTTGCAGAACCGGCAGGAATCAGCAAGTAGTTTGATATATTGTCTATGTGAATGAGAAGCCATATCTAATAAAACCTAGGTGTAGCAGTCAAAATATCCATTTTGCAATATAAATGTGGCCCATTTTCTGCCACTCTCACACTCTGGCCTTAAGATACTTGATTTTTATGTATAAATCAGAAGGAAATGAGGCTGCATTAAGAAATATTTTTACAGATTTCAGATTTTTCCTTCGTTTTACTCAATGTAATAGCTTGGTGTTCTGTCCAAACAATGTTAGCAATTGATGGATTCCACTCATCTGTACTTGTAAAACAAGCAGCAATTGCTGTCTTTTCCATGAGTCTTCAAGAACATGTGCTTTCTATCTTTGTACCAGCCCTTCTCTGAGGATTCCTCCTTGTACTCAATATCTTTCCATTTGATTATGTCGGGACTACCAAAAACAGAAATCATCACATTTTTACCATTATCCCTGCCACATGGGTTACACAATATAGAATCACACTTATCAGCTTTTTGTGTACTATTGTGTACTTGAGTTTCTGGAAACATAGCTTTGGTCAGTGGTCATGAACTGATTTCCAATAGAATATCAGCCTCTCCCAAGATTGGGAAAAGTCAAATAGTTCTCACTAATTGATGAGACAGCACACAAACAATGTTCTGTTAACTCCCTAAATTTTTTTCTATTTCTATCAAAATGTGGAAATCTTGTGCTTTAAACACACACACACACACACACACACACACACACACACACACACGTTCTTTGCTCTCATATACTGACCAAGACACTTGAAAGATATGGCTCATGACCCAGTATTGTATGACTTTCAGCTAGATTCCTATCTAGACCCTTTTTAAAATAGCCCCTTACTTTATTTTTCACCTTGGCCATGCTTTTAACTGGTTGTTGGTGGGCTAGGTAGGTTTCACTACCTGATATGCAACTTTCACCTTGTGACTGGTTTCTGGTCTAGTCTGATCTCAAACTAGCTCACTTTTCAACATCCAGGCCACATCCTTGAAATTGCTTTGTTGCTTTGGTTTGTTGCTTTTCTCAGGCCATTTGCCTATTTGTCAGGTCACTGAAGTCAGGTAGAGTCCATGTAGCAAAACTTTTGTTAGCTACACTTGATTTGTGAAGAAAACAATCTCTACCTTCAGGGAATTTCTTCAAAAGACCAGCTTTTCATGTGCTACACTATTGTAATTTTTTAAAAAAGGTCCATAGTTTTTCATCAGTCCGGCAGATCAGATAAAATAGCTGTGAAGGAAATAATTAGTGGCCAGAGGGGAGAGGGCACTTCATAGTCTTTTGAAGAGGAGTGGCTTGCCTACCATGAAATATTTAATAGGTGAACTGAAAAAGGAAAGGCAAGAGACCAACATGGAGTTTCAGGACCTTGGTTTCCTTTCAGGCAGGAGGACATCCATCATTGGTGTGTAAAACTTTGCTTTTTTATGGTAAAATATAAATACTTGGAGCTAAACCTGCAAAGCCATCACTTCTAAGGTTTATTTTTGTTGAATTTCAGGATCGAAATTCTGTCCTTTTCAAATTAACATTCTAGGACTTGTGAACTCAGAATTAGGAACTGATCACTGTTACTTTTTGCACTGATCCAACCCAAGAAAAAGCAATCTAAAAGAGAGGTTTAGATGCCTGATAAATAGCCATTTTGCAATGACAAAATCTTGTGCTGTGTAGTTAGACTTGAGGAAATATAGCCACCCAACACATTAGCTTTCAAGTCTGTGATTATTGACATGTCCCTCCAAAATGCTTGCCAAGCCTGGAGCTACCACCACCACCAAACCTGTCTAGGTTTTAAACACAAATTTTAAAGGGCCAAAAACAATTGGTTGGTTTTTCTGCATGGGTTTTGGTCAAAACATCTAACTAGTTTATACCCACTCATTGCCTACATGTTTAACAAAATACTACAAGGAGTTGAAATTGAAGATCTTGCAAAACCTACCTGATAATGAAAGCTCCAGCAAAAGGACAGCACCAGGCAATTACAGGCCAATTACCTGCTTACCAACAACTTTCAAATTGTTAACTGGTGTGGTAGCTGATGCAGTCCAACAGCATCTAGTTGAAAAGAATATCTTTCCACCTGAGCAGAAAGGAAACCACCCCAATAGCAGAGGAACAAAAGATGAACTCCTAATTGACAAAATGATACTGGAAAATTGCAAGAGAAGGAAGACCAACCTAAATGTAGCATGGATTGACTACAAAAAGGCATTTGACTCTCTGCCACATGACTGGATAATCAACTGCCTAGAAATAACAGGAGTCAGTAGAAGCATCAGAAGCTTTGTGCAAGGATCAATGGCACAATGGAAGACCCAGTTGCAGGACAATGGTGAGAGACTTGGAGAAGTTAATATCAAGAGAGGAATAGTTCAAGGAGATTCACTATCACCACTACTATTTGTCATTGCACTGTTTCCTCTGTCAACAATATTGAATAACTCAGGCCATGGCTACCAAACATCAAAAACATGCCAGACTATCCCACCTCCTTTACGTGGACAATTTGAAGCCATATGGAGAAACACCATCTGAAACAGAATCTCTGCTCAACACTGTCCTTATATATAGCCAAGATATTGCAATGGAGTTTGGATTGGACAAATGTGCCACACACACTATCAAACAAGGAAAAATAATGAAAACTGAACGAATCAAGATGCCCCATGAAAATAACATTAAGAGTCTGGATGAAGATGATTACTACAAATACCTGGGTATCCTTCAAGCTGATAATATCAAGCACACTGAAATCAAGAAAAAGATTAGAGGTGAATACATCAAGAGAGTGATGATCAAGATCTTACAGTCCAAACTCAATGGAGGAAATACCATCAAGGCAATCAACACCTGGGCAATACCAGTCATTAATTACATAGCTGGAATAGTGAACTGGACTCAAGCAGAATTAAAAGCAATAGATAGGAAGAGCAGAAAAATAATGACAATGAATCATGCCCTTCATCCTCGCAGTAATATTGACAGACTCTACCTACCAAGGCAAATAGGTGGGCATCAAATGTTGCAAGTATATTAAATGGTTGAAGAAAAAAAGGGGGCTTTGGAAGACTATCTGAAAGCCAATGAAGAAGATGCACTGAAGTTAGTATGCCAGGAAGGCTTGTTGACTATGGAGAGACCAAACTGGCCTACAAGAAAGACCAAATGAAGAACAGAATGGAGGCATGGGAAGACAATGGCCACTACATTAAAAAAAAATAGCAAGGAAAGCAGATAATAGCAGGAAAGTTAAAGAAAGACCAAGTGACTAATTCTGGCTGCACACAAAACCAAGCCTTAAGGACAAATGTATACAAACCCAGAATTGAGAAGACAGTAACAGACAGTAAGTGCCATCCCTGCAAAGAAGCTGAAGAAACAGTGGACCACCTGGTAAGCTGCTGCAAGAAGATCGCACAGACTGACTACAAACAGCGGCATGACAAAGTAGCAACAATGGTGCATTGGAAGATCTGTAAGAAATATCATTTGCCTGTAAGCAAGAACTGGTGGGATCATAAAACAGAAAAAGCCATAGAAAATGAGGAAGTTAAATTGCTCTGGCCTTCAGAATCCAGACAGACAGGCACCTGCCACATAACACCCCATTTTAACAGTTGTCGATAAGAAAGACAAAAAAGATTGGATTGTGGATGTGGCAGTGCCTAGAGACAGCAGAATAGAAGAAAAAGAACTGGAGAAGATAACATAGAAATAGAATGTCTATGGTAAAGGCAAGCAAGGGTAGTACCAGTAGTAATAGGCTCCTTGGGTGCAATCCCAAAATAACTGGAGCATCACTTGAACACCATAGGCACTGACAAATTTGCCATCAGTCAATTATAGAAGGGAGCTTTACTTGGAACAGCCTCCATCCTGCGATGATATCTGTAACACTGTCAAACATCCAGATTTACCTATCCCAATGGTTCAAACCCAGTCTGAACATCTGGCTGACTGTGCGACTATGTAATAATAATAACAATAACAACAACAACAACAACAACAACAACAACAACAACAACAACAATAATAATAATAATAATATGCTTTCTTATAGACATAAGAATTTTAATAGATTACAAATCAAAGCATTCCTAGGCTAGATGTCTTAGCTCCCCCAGGCCAAAATATCTTATTTTATATTAAAATTCACAGTATTCAATCAACCTTTTAAGTCTCACAAGCAAAGTCTAAATTTACGTCTAAGACACTAGCACAGCTAGATTATAAGTAGGGGGCAACTGAATCATCAGTGGGAGAATTAGATCTGTATTCCTGGGAATAAGTAAGGAAACAATGGGAACACAATATCCTTAGAATAGCCTGGACTGGATATTTATGTGTGAGTTGGCTCTGCCAAGCTTCTTCCCAATTAGTGGGACGTTCCCAGTGCTCTTGGGAAGCTTCTGTGCACTAACTGATCTTTGCTTTGACCTTTCTGGACCCAAGCCCAGTGCATTCCCAAAGCACCCTTCATCCAGAGCAGCTTATAAGGCTAATATCAAAGCAGATACAGAAGAAACGGTGGGAGGAAGGGAAGGAGTGGGGGAGAAAAAGAAACCAAATGAAAATCCGCCTTTTTATGGTCTCTTGTGAAGCCCCCAGGCATTCTTAGCTCAGGTCCCTCCTCTTACTCTGAATGGAGCAATAATTTTTCTTCCTCTCATCCACCCACCCAGACATTTTCCTGTAAGAAAAGCACAGACAGGCTGTGTGCTATCACTGCTGCCTTTACTGTGCTGACATGAACATGAAAGTGCTAGTTATCGTTTTGGTGCTAGCTCTGGCTACAATTTTTGCTCTAGTCTGTGTTTTGCTGACAAAGAAGGAAAAAAAAGTCACTGGTTGTGTCTACTCCGAACCAACAATTTCCTCTGAGAGGCCCAACAGAGAACAAAGTGAGGTCTTTGCTGATCTGACAGCTGATGAAATGACTCAGGTGGTGAAATATCTCAAGAAGAATCTTGGAGTGTACCTGGAAGATGCATTTCATGCAAAACCATCAGATAATTGCATTTACTATACGGATGTGTACTTCCCATCTAAAGCGAAAGTTCTGGGCTTCCTTGATCGTGGAAGGGAAGAGCTACCCCGGCAGGCATTGGCTGTGGTATACTTTGGAAGCCAGTCAGATCCAAACATTACAGAATTTGTAGTAGGTCCACTTCCAAATCCAACGTACCATCGAGACATTACAATGCGGAAATTTGGCAAGAAGGTTCCATATTACAGCAGACCAGTAACTGAGAGGGAATATAAAGATATTGACTTGTTCATTTTCCATAAACTCTTCAACACCTCCAACTTCCTCAAAATATGCTGCAATTATGAGAAGTCTGATTTAGCTACTCTAACCACAGCTCCAAGAGGATTTGAATCTGGTGAAAGAGCCACCTGGTTTGTCCTTTTCCAGAATGTGATTGGCAGTGGATATTATATACATCCTATTGGCTTGGAGATGCTGGTGGATCACAGCAGTCTGAACATCTCTGAATGGAAGCTGAGGAAAGTATTCTATAATGGACAGTATTATCAGGATATGGCCCATCTGGAAAAAGAGTTCAAGAATGGACAGGTGAAGGAGGCAAGAATAAAGAGTAGTCTGCTGCAGATGGAATTTGCTTCCAGGAAGCGATTTGAACCAGTAGCTTCTCTAGGCCCATTTCAATTTGAGACCCAAGGAAAGCGCTACACTGTAACTGGCAGCCATGTTACCTATCAGCAATGGAAGTTTACCTTTGGGATGAATGTGAACACAGGGCCACGTCTTTTCAATATCAGATTTAATGATAAGAGGATTGTCTACGAGTTGAGTCTGCAAGAAGCTCTTGCCATTTATGGTTCCAATTGTCCTGGAGGAATGGTGACTAGATACATGGATGGTAGTCTTGGCATTGGAAAGTTTTCTTATGAACTAGTCCGGGGTGTGGACTGCCCCTATATGGCCACCTATGTGAATCGGCATTACCTAATAGACTCTGACACTCCCAAACTAAACAAGAACTCCTTCTGCATCTTTGAACATGACATGGGTGTCCCTCTGCGTCGCCATTTTTCTAATTTAGGCTCTTTTTATTATGAGGGGTTACCCAAATATGCTTTGGTCTTAAGGACTGTTTCTACCCTCATTAACTATGACTATGTCTGGGATTTTGTATTCTATCAAAACGGTGCCATAGAAGTCAAGGTCCATGCTACAGGATACATCAGCTCTTCATTTTTTATGGAAGGTGGTACTAAGTATGGAAACAAGGTCGGGGAGTACACACTTGGAACCATGCACAACCATCTGATAAACTACAAAGTTGACTTGGATGTAGAAGGTAGGTTCTTATATTTCCCTAACTCCCACAAACTGCCATTCTATTAAAACCTAACAGAGTTATATAAGGGCTGGTGGTTTGGTCAGCCTTCTCCGGCTACAGATCTAGGTTGCCTTGTTTGGAACTCCAAATAAACCCTGAGCTTTCTGTGACTTTGCATGCAGAAGATTCAGTAGAGAGAAGAGGGGGAGGGGGGATTTAGAAATTCAAATTATTTTCATTCAGCCTAAATCATTGTTTGATTTATTTTGGTATCATTGATGAATTATGCAACTAGTGTGGTTTAGTGGTTAAAAAGTTGAACTGGAAGTGGATAAGCTTAAACTAAGTTCATCTTAAACTATGAAAGCCTACCTCACAGGGCTGTTTCTTTGGGGGGGGGAGAAGCAGAGGGAAATGGAGGAAGAGGCTCTATGCATACAGTCTTCAGCTCTTGAACAAACAATGAGAGTTATGAGAGACTGAAGCTGAAAGAGTGAAATACAGGTAGTCCTCGACTTACAACAGACTACCTGTATATCCCATTTCTCGTTTAGGGACCGTTTGAAATTACAATGGCACTGAAACATATGATTTATGATCATTTTTCACACATAAGACAGTTGCAGCATCCCTATGATCACATGATCAGACACTTGGCAACTGACTCATATTTGGGACGGTTGCAATGTCCCAGGGTCACATGATCACCTTTTGTGACCTTCTTTCAAGCAAAGTCAACAGGGAAGTCAGATTCACTATTTGACTATTTCATATTGCTAACTTAACAATTACAGTTAAGCTCAGTTGGGTTGGACTAGCTATAAAAAAGTGATTTCTCCTTTACTTTGAAAATTGACCCTTGGAATGGTGGTCTGCTAAGAATTAAGCAAGAGAGAATAACCTTCTGGGCCCTGTGGGCATGCCTTTATCATAAAAGCAGATAAGAATCCAGAAGATTATCAAATACGTGGATTCCTTTCTACAGCAGCTGCTTTTATGCCTCAGCTGCAGGGCTAAATGCCTTTCTCTGAAAGACTTAGCTGTGGCTTCAGAAGTTATCACAGCATTGTAAATGCTTACTGTGAATAAATAATGCATTATTCAGTATTTGGGGTGTAATAATATTAATCTTATGTAAATCATGATTATATTTAAATAGAAATGCAATGAAGTCAAATTTAATTTGTGTCAAGCTTATTTTGCCTTGGTTCTGCGTATCTCTCTGGAATGAAGGCTCCAGAAGATAAAGCCCAGCATGATCCCTGTGAAAACAATTGTGCATCCTTGTACGTTCTATGCTTGGATACCCTTCTGCATGCATGTGGCAAGAAGCTGCAATGGATTTGATATTCAATGGCTTATATCATTCAGTACTAAGGAGTTGCTTTGGGCCAGCAAAATATGTGAAATTTAGATAAGCAACAGTGACTAATCTTAACAACTGGATTCCATGAGGAGGAGACAATGCAGAAGTGTCATTATGATATATGTTTATATGCAGATGGCATAATTCTCAATTAGTTTCATTCTGTAAATGGAAAAGTCTTTTGTCTCCAAAAGGTGCATTTCACTATCTTCCCTTCTTGTGAGAAGAGGTAGAGTTAGTGTAATAAACCCAGCAGATTATTCTTTAAATCTGAGAAAGTTTGACTTTTGCCCTTGACTTGGAAAAAGTAGAATCCTGAGAAAGTACATTTCATCTCTTCTGTTCTAATTCTGTGTGCAGAAAATAACACTGACCAATTCCAGGACTTTCTAAATATAGATCTCTATGTGTGATTAATTGTAGATTGGCAAGAGTTTCTGGGCAAAGCCCAACTAGTGTCCTCTTATAAACCAAGGACACATAAATTGGTCAATTTCATTTTGCTCAATTTTGTATTTTTCCATCCTGGAACTCATTACAATCCATATGTGTAAGTTTGTAATTGTCAAAACAAAATCTTCAGAATTGTAATCACTCCTCCCAATACACCATGTGAATACAGAGTTTTACCATGCATGGTGAGCACAGTTTTATATCTTAGTTTTTATTAATAAAAATTAAGATTAATAATTTAGTAAGCCCAACACTATATGCACTTTTCAATGTTAGAACTTATGGCAATTTAAACACATCTGTATATATGTAACCATCCCATGGAATAATAAATATAGTAATACACCCTGCCATGTTACCCAAGAAGCATTTTGTATCACTGATGGAATTTATTTCTCTCACCTGGGAACTCCATATCATAATAAGTATAGGACTTATTATAAAAAGAACAAAAAGATTGTACAATACAAATAATTATTTCACATATAATATTTTATTATGTTAGACCACATAAGACAAATAGATCTCAGTTCTATCATCATTGGGGGAAGGGAATTTCAAAGCGGCTTCTGAAAAGATCTTTCATGTTATCTTCCAACAGAACAGGTGCCTATGACAAAGATTTTATTGGTCGACGTTTGTTTGCAAGGAAGAAGTAGATCTATAATAAAGATATAACAATTGTCTGAGTAGGCTTCCATTGTTCCCAGTGTATATTTGAGCCACAGATGCTGGAGAAATAATAATTGAACAAGGCTGTATGGTGAGTTTGTAAGAAACTCTCCCAAACATAAGATAAGCCATTCTGCCCACAGTCTCAAACTGACTTTGGTGTTTGATCCATTGTTTCTAAATAAGTCTATCCTTAGACAGCAGTCCAAAACAGGAAGTGTTTGTCTTATTCTTTTTGATTTTTTGTTAGGAGTCAAAAACTCTTTGGTGGATCTGGACATGGCATATGAATCCGTGCAGGCCCCTTGGAGACCAGAACATACAATTCAGCGACCAATCCTCACCCAACAAGTCCTGGACACGGAAGAAAAAGCTGCTTTCCCACTTGATGGCAAAATCCCTCGGTACCTACTTTTCAGTTCTAACAATGAAAACCAGTGGGGCCACAAACAGAGCTATCGCATCCAGATCATCAGCTTTGCAGGCAAGCACTTACCACAAAGTAGCCCCATGGAGAAGGCCATCAGCTGGGGCAGGTAGGTCCCTATCATAGTCTTATGTTTGCCTTTTAGATAAATAGCATCTTGTTCAAATTAAAGAATGATGTCAGGGGAAAAGGCGCTGCAGTTTATTCATTTGTCTGATGTACATTGATCAGCTGCATGACTCGGATGGCTTACAACAATTTAAAAACTAAAGAAAAACCATCAAAATATATATTTTACAAACTTAAAAAAGCAATAGAATTGAATTAATAAAATCCATAACCAGGGTCAAACACCATGATCACCTCGTCATAGACTCATCATTGTATTATATTTTTTAAAGAATTAAGAAAATTAGAGAATTAGTTTGCACTTCTGAGGAACACGATAAAACCCGGTGTCCTCACATTTTCTCTCTCATTTTCCCTATTTTGTGTCCACTTTAGGTACAAGCTGTCTGTCACTAAGCAGAAAGAGGAAGAATTGACAAGCACCTGCATCTATAACCAGAATGATCCATGGGATCCCCTGGTGACCTTTGCAAATTTCATAGACAATGAGACCATAGTCAATGAGGTAAGTGGCAAGATGACCCAACTATGCTTTACATGGAGGAGTTTAAACATGGACAAGAAGAAATATGCTATGGCATCAGCACTACCAAATTTTCAAGAGAAGAGAGTCTTGAGATGTGGCCTGTAGCTCTAAAAATTATTGTAAGCAATAAAAAACAGTGTCCATGAAACTATTACATTCAATTGTTAGAAGAGCTGTCTCTTTACTCACCAGGTCTCCCGTCTCACAGATCAGCCAGTCAAAGTCATGAAGAGATACTTCTACCATGCCCCCTTCATTTGCCCCCTCTCCCAGCTCTACCCTCTGAACCAGATTTTGATGGCCCAGCCCTGTTGGCCTGTTGTAAGGCCTTCAATACCCATTTGTCCCCTGGGCGAGGGAATTGAATGAACTTGTGAAATAGTTTGGGAAGGTTATATAATTGGGGCTTGGTCTTGGTTGTATTGTGTTTTGTTGTGATTTTGTGGCTTTAGTATTTATTAGTTCTTTCATTTTGTGTTTTTAATCCTCAGTGATTCAACGTTGTTGTTTGCAATTTGGGTAGCCATATAAATAGTTAAAATAAGTAAATAATATCACCAGGCAAGTTAAGGTGAATAGCCACTTCTTCATGGCCTCCAAGAGTGTATGGGATTAGAGACGACTCTCCTTACACCTGCCAGCTATTCTGTTGAGTTATAAACAAACAGTACATCCATGTTTAAAATTAAGAAATGAGGAGTGTGGTGGGAAGGAGTTACAAAGCAAACCAGGAGGAAGATCTGTTGCATCAGCACCAGCTGATCCTACACCATTTATCTCTTAGTTGAACTGATTTGTCTTTCAAAGTCAGGTTTGGAAATTTGGGAGATGCATCCAGTTAAAACCTGGCTACAAAGAACAATGTCTAGCAACTTGAGCAATAAAAACTCTGCATGAGCTCAAATGGCCAATAGAAGTGGGATCAATCCAGCCACTTAGGAATCATCTGACTTCATCACTGACAGAATGGTCTGAAACATGATCAAAAATGCATGGGTCAGATTAAGAAACAGACCCTGTTTTAGCACTGGAAAAGCGATGGTTATCTTAAAACTCCCATCTAAAAGTTATCCAGCTAATAAATATATCTCAGACTAGGATATATGACATTAGCGCTATACTACTCCATCGAAGAATTTGCTGAGATTTGCTTAATGTGAGATTTAGGAACATCTTCAAAGCTCAGCCTAATTTGGAAGATGGTAGGTACAGTGTCACAATCTAAGCCTGCTGTTCAAGGCAAAAAGACTTTTTAAAAAATAGAAATTTGCACAATTTGCAAATGAGAATCAATAGCTGATTTAAATAAATGGAAAAATAATAGAAGTAGTCAAAAAAGGAATCAGATAATGTTAAGAAGTATACAGTGGAGGAAATGAAGAAAAATAACAAAATGTTGTTCTCTTGACAGTGCACTTGTATGTCTGTTGCATGAATGAATTACACTCTAGTTGCAGATCATCTGAACAAGCAATATGAACTGAGTTTCATTTACATTCAGCCAGTTTTCAAGAAGACCATCATTTACAAGGGATGTAACTTCATGAAATGCAATTGTGTTCTATATTATCAGAAAAGTGCATGGCTAAATAGGGGTTTTGCTAATCGTTAATTTTGCTAATTCTTGCTAATTTTTCTTTTTCCTTTCCTCTTCCCAGGATCTTGTGGCCTGGATCTCAGTTGGATTTTTACATGTGCCACATGCTGAGGACATCCCCACTACTGTAACAGTTGGCAACGGAGTAGGTTTTTTACTTCGGCCTTATAACTATTTTGATGTTGATCCTTCTAGCAGCTCCCTTGACAGCATCTACTTCAGAGATGATGAAGATGCAGGCAAATGTGATATCAACCAAATTGCTTGCTTGCAACAAACAGTCACATGTTTTCCAAGTCTACCTCCTTTCACTTACAATGGCTTTGAGAACTTGACAAATCCATAAGAAGAATCCACATTTATACTCTGACTTAACTTTTTTTAAAAAATGTAAAGGCTAAAGAATGACTGGCTTGAGCATGCCTACTTCCAAATTTCTATTCTGTCTATTCTATTCCTTACTTTTGGTCATCCTTCACTGTTTTCAATTTGAGGTTGGGATTTTTTTTTTTTTTTTAGACTAACTCAATGGAGAATTTCTGCTTTCAGCTGACAATCAGATGTTTCCTCCAGGCTTTTTACAAATTATGGCTTTGAATGTCATTACCCGATGTTCTAAATGTTCTAACATGTATAGGTTTTCACTTTATAGAAATTAGTGGGGATCAGTGGTGGGTTGCTACCGGTTCGGTCCAGATCTTGCGAACTGGTAGTAACAATGGCAGGAGGCTACGTCCACCTGCCCAGAGGTCATCATGGACACTCTGCACATATGCAGAAGCTTCTGCGCATGCGCAGAAGTGTGTACGCTCCCATTGCGAACCGGTAGCGAAGGTAAGTGGAACCCACCCCTGGTGGGAATCTAAATTGGGGCAGGATATCATTTGTCTTGCATATTAGAGAAAGAATCCAGCAAGGACTTGCTCAGTTAAATGATAATTAGAATGCACTAAATGCTTTCAAATGATCATAGCAATATACTGATTTTTAAAATCTCCAAATACAGAAATTTGATGAGTTTATTATATTGTAATTCCAGGCCAAAAACCTTTATCCCCATCATGCATATTTTCATCCACTTGGAGAAGAAATTCTTTAAATTGGGCAAGGGCTTACTATATCAAAAGATTGCTCATTCTCCTTCCAGCAACCCCAGCAATTTTTTTCAGTATAACATGAAATGTAAATTCCACTGTTTGCTTCCTATGATAATGTTAATCCCTGTGAGAAGCCCAGTCATGATTTGTGTTCTTTTCAACATTGAAATGCTGGAAACAAATGAACGGATTGGAGGAACTATTCTCAAGTAGAAATGCACTGCACATTCAAAAGCCCCTTGGCTTTGCACAGGAATTCCTGACAAATCATGTGATGGTAGCCAGGACACCAGCTGCAAAATCAGCTGACTACAGCTGCTTTCAGATGGGCCCAAGAAACTTATCACTACTGAAGATTGCTCTTCCACTGTGGAACTATAGTTGGCTTTCCATGCAATTAAAGACATTGCATTTTTCCTAGGTTTCCTGTTCTGTTCAGAACAATGAAAGGAAACTAGTGATTAGGAGAGGGGAAAAAATCCAGTAATTTTAAAAAAAACAATTAATAAAAATTTAAATAGGAAAATTAGTATGTATCTCCCTCCCCTCCACAGACACAACATTGATGGAGTTTAGAGTGGAAAACAGGTCAGCTCACTTTCTTGTATTACTGATAATGAGAGAAAAGCTGTTGAAATGAGAACTAGCTGTTTGAGACACTTGCTGGTGAATTTAACCTTTTATGTAAAGTACAGTATAAATACACTCCCCCCCCAACTTCTTTTTTCCTTCTATTGGCTCTTCCATTTTCCATTCCAGGCCATATTTGTTTCCCCTTTCTAATCTTTCTTTTTGCTGTTTCCCTAGAGGAAAGAAGGAAAATATGCATGGGCCATCTGTAAAAGAGAGAGAGAGAGAGAGAAGAAAAAGTTGTATGTGTGCAGATAGTGGTTCAATTAATTTTATCAACAAGGTGCCTTATTTTAGGCAATTGTTTCTAATTTGTAGGCATTAATTCTTGCATAAAAACTGTTGCCAGAGAATTTCCAAGATACTGTCAGTTTGCCAAGGTAGGGATGCTGGGTGGGTATTGCTCAAGATTTTTGACTATACTGTAGGTTTTTTTTCATAACTCCTTTTTCCTTTTTTGGGGAGGGGGAGAAAGCCATTTCAAATTCAAGATTAAATCATTTCTTAAGTGATGCAGTCAGATAAATGTAATGATTGGCATTAAAATGTTCATTTATGCTCCAACATTTAATATTTGTTTTGTATTTGAAATATTTTTATTATTATTATTTTAAAAATAGCTGAAATAGTTATATTAATATGCATTGGGAAGAACGCTGCATTTTACTTTCTATAAAAAAACCTGTTGAGTAATTGGGCCTTTGTTAATTATGATAACACAGTTCTGATTCTTCCAGTACAAAAAGATGTATCAGTGTTTTTGTTTGCATTAGGAATGTACAAGAATTTCATCAAAATAATCCTCTGGGAGCTAACTTGGATATTTCATTTTTGCTGAACTTCATGCCATTTTAGCATCTGATTAAATTCACCAGCACTGGTTTCTACCCTAATTAAACAACAGTTGGGAAAAAAAAACTTGCTTTAATTTATGTTTATTTGTATTTAAAAAACTATATCAACTATTTTCACATGTAATGGAAACTTTTGGATAACAAGCAATAAATGAAATTTTGAGAGATGTTGTGAATGTAAAAAGGGAGGGAGGGTAGGAAGGGAAGGATATTTTTTTAACCCTTCAAGGGAAAACTCCAGATTAGAATATTGTTGAATTGAAAGAAATCATAAGAGCAATAATCTTATTTTACACTAGACATTTTTGGGAAAGAAAGAAGGAGAAAAAAAGAAAGCTTTTTTTTTTTTTTGAGAGAGAGTCAGGTCTTCACTAGGAATGATCCTTACCTATTTTTGGTGGTGCATATAATGGATAAAAAGACTGATGTTAATTTACATCTATGGAGAGAATCATGTTTCTTATTCATTCTTCAAAAATATATACTAGAGATGGCATTAATGGATCATCTATTAAGAGTACCACGATCTCACAATGTCTTGCTATTATTCCCTGCCCGACTCATGTCGCTGTCCTCATATATATTTGAGAATATCTCTGATGCATGCACATGGTTTAAGCATTATAAATTGAAATATATAGGTTTGTGTGTATTATTAACACAATGGGAGTATCTAAATAGTCTGTATATTTGAGATGTATGGGGAAATATATCAATGTAAATGGTACTGATTATTTGCATATTCAAGATTATTCAAATATATATCAAGAATTCAAAAGCTTCAGTTGCTGAAAATGCAATGACCGTCAGAATTTTTCACAAGGCCAGACTTGGACAGGTGTCAATTCTTTTGCAAGAATTGCATTGTTTACCAGTCTGCTTCCAAGTGAAATTCAAGGTGCTATTTATTATCACTACATGGCTTGGGCCCAAGTTATTTGAAAGACCCCCTTTTCCCAGTTACATCTACTTAACCCGACAGGGCGTGTTGTGTGTCCTATATTAACACAAAAGGGCTAGTACACTAGTAATATATCATCCAGGTATTCAACGCAAATGAAACTTCAGTATATTGCATGATACCACTTGCCCTATCCCTTCCCAACCTAGATTTTGGTGGACAAACCTAGAGGCCAGACAATATCACTACCAGCAATGAATTGACCAATGCTATCCAAGTACACCATTTCCTTCAAAAAATAAAAAGCACAATTGTATCCACCAACACTTTCTAGACTACCTATCATCCTCTCTTCTTTCCAACCACCTTCCCAGTATTAGAGACTTCTCCAGAGAGTTAGGTATTCGCATAATGTGAATACCTAAAGTAGGATAACATCAGCCTGGTAATTTGTGCCTAGAGTGAGAACTCTGAATTGATGTCTTTGATGATCCATCTCTTCTTTTAACTGTCCACAATTTTCAGGAATCTTCTCCAACACCAAAATTCAAAAGTGTCAACCCTCTTCCTATCCTGCTTCTTTAAAGTGCAATTTCGTTTCTATAGAGCAGTAGAGGGAATAACCATGGCTTGCATGTTTCTGATCTGTGTAGGTAAACACATCTCAACATTTGATCATCTTTTCCAAGGCCTTCATTCCAACAAGTGCTAGTCTGTGGTATGTTCCATGACAGCTTCTTCCTTTACTATTGGTGATTGACTGTAAAAGGCAGAAATTATTCACCACTTCAATATCTTCATTGTCAAGGCTTAAGCCACATGAGCAACAGCTCACTACATTAGATGTAAAATTTAGATACATCGGGATGACTCAGAGGTAGAAAAAGGAGGAGGAGATAGGATGTTTATGCATATGAATGTTTTAGAGGGAAGAGGTTACAACTATCATATCAATTAACAATTGTAATGTGCACAAAAATCCCTTATGTTTATATAGACATTTTGAGATAATGAAAATATATGTATGTATGTAAACTCAGATGACACATTCTCAATTAAAATACTCTGCTTTTATTTTGTTCTGGTTTTTTGCACAATGCCTTTTTTCACAAAAGAATTAATGGTTAATCCCATATTGTCAGACCTGCCCCAATCTGATCCCTTAGTAAAGAAAGATCCTTGACTCCATTTGGTTAAAGCAAAGAGTTCTTTTACTAAAGGTGTTGGTTGCAGTAAAGCCAAGCCAACTCTGAATATTCCCGCACTCAAAAGATATAAAAAGGTTTGTCCGCAGCCCATCCCTCCCACCAGTGACCAGTCCATTTCCAGCCAACTGGAACTTGCAAAAATGTTTTGAGAATACTGAGATGTTTGGGGATAGTCTGCATATTTCTCAGGGAGCCTGGCCTTGGGATGCTGGTACAAACTGGATCCAGGATGCTCTGATCTTTATCACTGCTCATTCCCCCTTCCAGATTTCCCATCATGTACACACACAACTTTATTGTCCTTCTATCCCCGCTCCCCCTTCCAGCTTTTGATAGCAGGATGCCTGTGAGCTGCTAAGCCGAACCAGGCAGAGCTGACACATATACTGCATCCAACATAACTACATCAGGAACTTTTTTTTTTAAAGGAGATACTGCTTTAATATTGAATATTAAAGTTTTTTTCAGCACCCTACCAATGTTGGGATACATATCTGCTAACAAGAGCTTTTGCTAAATTTGTATCTCCAACAGTCGTGCCTCATCAATTTTGTTTTCCTTATTCAGCACAAGTAGCTACAAGAAGAGAAAACATACGAAGATTGCTTCCTGGAGAATATCTTTTAACTCTTCCATCTTGAACACATCTTTGCTGAAAGCAAAAATATGGAAGAACATAGGAAATAGAACATAACATCCAATTCCCCCTGCAATATTCAATAACTGAGGGAGGAATCATACAACAGTCTTTTCTGGAAACAACCAAATAATCATGTTTAAGATAAGGGGAGTTTTGTCATTGTTGTCAGCCATTCAGATCTCTCCAACCTCGACCACTCTATGAATCAGCTCTCTCCATGCCTCTTTGTCTTGCACCACCTGCTTCAGATCTGCCATGGTCATTCTGATGTCATCCTTTATAGTGTCCAGCCAATGAGTGCTACAGCAGCCCCTTTCTGCTTTTCACTCCCAGCATAATTGACTTTTCGAGTGAGTCAGCTTTCATAACATGACCAAAGTATGCCAGCCTTTTTGGCGATCTTTGCTTCAAATAATATTTTTTGTGAGTCTAGTATTTCTTTGTGATTTTTGCAGTCCATGGGATGCGTAATAGTCACTCTAGCACTACAGTTCAAATGCGTCCACCTTTCTCTTATTGGCCTTTTTCAGAGTTCAGGTTTTGCAGCCATAAGTAGCAATTGGAAAAATTATTACATTGACTAATCTGCATTTGGTTGGTAGTCTGGTATTTTTATTCTTCCAGTAGTTATTCATGTTGACATTGCAGTTCTTCCAAGGGCCATAGTACGCCTTCTGATCCCAGGGCTTCTGTCACCACATTGGTTGATTTTAGAGTGCAGGAAGATGAATTCCTTTACTGGGGAATTTCTAGGTTGATGGGCAAGGTGTATACGATGATTTATTTTTTAGCATGTATTTTCTAAATAAAATAGATATAAATAGATGATAGATAGATAGATAGATAGATAGATAGATGGATGGATGGATGGATGGATGGATGGATGGATGGATGGATGGATGGATGGATAGATAGATAGATAGATAGATAGATAGATAGATAGATAAGTAAATGTATTATTTTATTAAACATTACATAGAAAATTGGGTCATTTTTTCCAAAAATACAAAATATACTGAGCAAAGCTAAAAAGAAAAAAAAGGAGCCTGAAGACTTAGACTGGGAAGGAGTATGCTTTCAAGCAGACTATTCTCACAGTAAAGAGAATATGCTGCCAGTCATAAAAAGAAGAGTTAGAGAATGTGTGAGATTTGGTTGCAACAAAATCCAAGGATTTATAGCTGACTAATCTTCAGGAAATATATATACTATAAAAGAGTGAGGAATGGTAATGGCAATACATATTCCTCTTCTAAAACTTTGTTTTTCTACAATATGGAAAATTGTAGGACAAACATTGGACTGACTAAATGAGGATGACAGAGCCATGAAGGTTAGGTCAATAAGGTATCTTGGCCAGCATCCCCATGTAGCATGCAACATATTTCTTCAAAAATAATAATCAATTAAGAATGGAAAATGTCAAGGGCACAGTGATACCATGTGAGGTCAAAGGAAAGACATTGCCAAGTAAAAACAGCAGGGTTAATATATAACAATTACATGGAATGAAGGTGGAAAGAAGAGGGAGGAAGAAATCAATCGCCTTTGACTTCAGGAACTCTCCTAGCTAACCCTAACCCTCAACTCTGCCCTATGTGCTGGGCACAGTTCTGATTCATATTGGTCAACAATATGACTTAGCTGAATGTGTACAGTATAGTATCAGAGTACCCTAACCAGCTAATCCCAGAGCCAATTGGAATAGAGATAGCAGGAGGGTTAAGTCTCCTCCCAATGAAATAAAGTTTCTGTTTATTTTATGGATATGTCTATGTAATTTTCCTGGCAACAAAAAAAGAAATTTTTAACCTAGGATTGTGCTTATTTCGCTTTATTGCGTATGCTTTCTGGGAACAGCATAAATATTAGCTTTCTGTCTTTGTAGATACAGATGCCCAAACATGGTCACTTTGACTTGATCCTCTGCTTGGCAATTTCACTGACTAAAATTTCACTTTATCTTGCTGCAGCCATCCAACCCAAATATCTTTATTCTGCATTATACCCATGAAAATGCCTTCATTTCAATTGGCTAAAATGGGTTCCATTCAGGGGTGAAATCCAGCAGGTTCTGACAGGTTCTGGAGAACCAGTAGCGGAAATTTTGAGTAGTTCGCAGAACCAGCAAATACTACCTCTGGCTGGCCCCAGAGTGGGGTGGGAATGGAGATTTTGCAATATCCTTCCCCTGGAGAGGGGAATGGACATTTTGCAGTATCCTTCCCCTGGAATGCGGTGGGAATGGAGATTTTGCAATATCCTTCCCCTGCCACGCCCACCAAGCCACACCCACAGTACCGGTAGGGAAAAAATTTGGATTTCACCCCTGGTTCCATTAAATTGGAGTGTTTATTATTGTTGATGCCATTTTTGTTATTTGGGTAGCTAGATTTTAAGTTACCTATAGCAATTAATGCAAATGATATAAATTGATGCAAATAAATATAAATAAACATAAATATAAACATAAATATAACTCAGAAAATTGTCTGGAGTACTTCAGAAATAACAGACTTAAGTTGTATAAGGGTGAAATCCAAAAGAAAATGTTTCTGTTATATCCAATGTCAGTGGAATCCAAACAATGGAGGTTTTACTGGAATTCTTCTATATAAATTCTTCTCCCCCATCAGTTATTAATCACTTTCTATCATGACCTTAATTCAAATCAACTTTCCAAATCAAATATATAATTTGCCCTCCAATACTTTTTGTTTGTTGACAAATTAATTTTGTTTTCTTGAAAACTGGATCAACTACTGTCTGTCTTTATTTATTTATTTGTATCTGACCTGTATTGTTTAAGAGGTTGGATAAGCAGAGAGCCCCAGAGAATAATCACAGGGACATACAATATTATTCTGGATTACTGCAAGCTAGTTGATGGCTTTACTATAACCAAGATGGGACAAACAGAGGAATTGAGTGTGATGGAGCTGAGTGTTTTTGCCTTGCTGTTTCCTAGCATGAGTAAAATATAAATAACTCAAGAATGTGACCTGTCTAAATGCACAGGCCACCTTCTTTGCTTTTTTCTTCACACAGCTTTATATATTTATACAGTTTTGGGAAATACAGAAAGATCTATTACACCAAACAAAGAGACCATAGGGAGAAATCCACTCAATAAGATGCATGTTTTGAATTTGGAGTATATTACTATGATCTTTTTGTATATAAATAATTGGGCTAAAACAAGTGCCCCATTCTTAAGGGTGGAATAAGAGAAGATGAGGACATCATCCAAAGGGGATGAAAAAATATTATTTTCTTCCTTCAAAATAGCCAGTACAGGTCAACCACTTTTTTTATTCATGTCAAAGTTTTTTTTAAAGGGCCTGCTGATACCATATCTGTCTCTGTGTGACTCTGCTGTTGACAGGATGGGATGGGTTAACCTTCTGAACTCTGTTCTTGCCACTTGATCAAAATGCTCCATTGCCAAGTCTTGCACAGGGCATCTCTATCCAGAAAGCTAATAGAAATGTGTCACTCAAGTTGTCACTAGTTGCTCTGTGGGTGAGTTTTATCTGGAAAACAGAGAGACATCAACCTGCTGACTCTCCATGAAAAGAGAGGCACATTTCTTGAGTTTGTCATGTTATTGCTACATTCTGTTTGTATAAAATACACAACTGGATTATACAGAGGCTAATAAATCATATAAATAATTAAACCTTGGGATTTAGAAAGGTTTAATTGTAGACCCAAAGAGCACTGGGCTTGCTTCTCCAAACTAACCATCCTCAGACAGCTATTTGATACAAACAGAGATATTTACAGAAGCCGGGCAAAAAAATGAGACTATAGAAGGACCTAACAAAAACACAGATAGTCTAGCACTTCTCTTTCTATATTTCACCATTACTGAAATACACAGGATAGCAAAACCTTCAAGGAAGTGGATGCAGTTTGGTTATCTTCCCCAGATTCCATTCACCTATTGGAGTCACCACAATAAGAATAGATGGCGCACCATCTCCCTTTAACATCAGGTATCTGTGACTATGTGTAATGCCAACAGAGGCAGATTACAATTCTTCCAGAGTAGTTGTTATGTATATAGTTTTGGCGGGAGATTTAAACAACAATAGGTCACTTGTGATTGGTCAGCTGCCCGGCTGGGCAGGTATATAAGGAGGGCTGTTTGCCTGTAACTTTTGCTGAAGTCTCACTCTACATTAAAGAGCTGTTGTCACTACCTTGCTTCTGCCTCTTCAATT